TTCCTTGTTACCTACGACACTTGCTTCGTTTGGAACCCAACCAAGGTGAGTTAGCTGTCGGGTGGTTGGTCTATAGCTCATTGTTGTTTTTATTAGCGAGGTCATGGTTCCCCTACCTGTTACATCTTTCCAACCCCTCGACAGCAGGCTAGCGCTGGAGCTGCATCACACTTAATGCTGCCCAACGTGTCCCTCATACCATATGGGTCTAGCCGCGAACCTGGCCTAGTTATGGTTGCCTCTACGGGAGAGATTCGTCTGTGGGAAAGCATCAACGCTGGACTTGCTGGCGCGGAACAATTTTATTCTAGTTCTGTGCCGCTTTCTGCTGGGGAGCATGTCTCAACCATGTATAGAAGTGAAGTAAGTAGTCTTGTTGGTATTTTTTTATTCCAAAGCCTAATACCGAGTGATCCTAGGCCGCATTCTATATACTTGCCACAACTTCTGGTCGGTTGTTTCGCATGGTCTTGTCTTCGCCTGGTGGCAAGCCGCATGTTGCTGTGGCTGCGTTTTCTCAACACCAGGGGTTGTTGTCGTTCTCTCGCTTTTTTGGGAGATCTAGTGGAAATATGAATGGAGGCTCGATTGCTGCGGTCGCGGAGACTGCGTCTGAAACTCGCCAAGCACGAAGTAAAAACATTTGGGCTTTGACGGAGAGGACACTGCAGAAATGGACAATAGGTGATGGGTGGGAGCAGGTATGTACCCAAGATTTATTTTGTAAAGTCGTAATTCGGTACTCATACTTCAAAAGTTGTCGGTCGAATACGATATTCGTACCCCTTTGGATGGTGAAATCGTACCGGATGACCAGGAGAATTCGGAGCACCCTGAGTTGGACATTGAGCTTCACGATCTCAAAATGCAAGAGTATGTCTCAACCTCGACTCCCATTTTTGTGCTGGTGGCTGATCGGTTCACAGCAACGACCAAGCCCTTATTCTTTTCTCGTATATCCCCCCAGCTGAATTGGCATCCAACGCAACTCCGAATCGAACCTACGCAATCGCCTCCTTTGCTCCTTCAGGCGATAGCCTGGTCCCGGGACCAGTAGATAAGGTCCCATACGAAGGCGTAAGCCCGCTCTATACTTTCCATGAGCTCGCTTACTTAGTTTAAGGATGGACAGGCCCGAGATCCACGCCCCGCGTCTAATCCCAAACTCGCTCTAATCGACAGCGGGAACGTCGCCTTCGTTCAGTTCGTCGACGCTCTGACTCTCCAGTCCCTAAATACTGGTCCGTTTGTAAATTCGTGTGCTTTCGAGCCTATGCTAACTTGAACACTTGTCTGCATAGGGTCAACCTTTAAAACACACCTGCTTTTCAAGGAACGAAGATGGAATCGTACACTTGGCTACGGCATTATGGACAAGCAGACGTCGAACCTAAACCCTTTTGAATTAATATTGATGACTGCGACTGCCGGCCAATTAAACGTACAGCTGGACCTCACAAAGATCAAGCGTGTGGATGACCTGTAAGTTCCCCTGCGCGTTCCTTGTCGTAACTAATAAACGAGTTGTTCCATAGGACGAAAGTCAAACAACTCAGGGCGGTCATGGAGCAAGCTATACGCTTCGGAACCATTCAAGACGTATGTATCATGTGCCAATACACCAACTTTACTGACCTCCTATACGTTCAGAACCCGTTCATATTCCGGCTTGATCCTGAACTCAAGGAAGCTGACCTCGGCGGGGCAGCTGTTGGGTTAAGCCGCGATATCTTGGCTTCAGGTAGGTGTTTCGAGGCTAGGCTAGAATTCAGGATTTTATCTCGTCCCTCAGAATTCAGCGAGTCCCGTAATGCTATGGACCTCAGTTTGCATATTGGCCAGCGACTTAACCAACTACAGGCACTCATGAGATTCCTCAACGAGGATCGAGTGACCTCGCACGTAAGTAATTCATCCGCGGCCTTTGTCCGGATTTAACGTGTCCATTAGATGTCCGACTTCAGCCGACAGTCGCTTGCTGCTGACGCCGAGAAGTTATGCGCAGCTACTGCACTTTGGCAATATGAAAAGTCAGTTCATAACTAACCCTGATCCTGACTTAAATTAATACTTGTGTAGCGAAAACTCAGGGCAGCATCAAAAATCTCTCCTGACTGATGCCATCGAGCGTTATGTAGTTGAAGGTAACTTGTCCGTCGAAGAGGGTCCTGTTCGGACGTTCTTCAAGTATCATGTGTGTGACCTTCTTGCCGCGTATTTTGTCTTCACTAATCCAACCCTCCTTCAGCTTGGAGCGCTTGGACTCATTGTGCGAAATGCTGATGAGATCGTGGATGAGGCGTATCAAAATGGTCTCCCAAACCAGGTTGACTTGTTGCGCGCAGCCAACCAAATCGTGCTGGTAGGTCTTCTTGCGTATTCATGTTTTACATTTCTAACTCCAGGCCCTTCAAAAAGTCGATATACGGCACCGTCGAGACCTTCCGCCAACGCAACCTTGGATTTTATGGCCTCGAAACTGCACAACCAAGTCTAGTTCCATGGACGAGTGAACCAGAGGTGCTGGAGTCGATGCAAGACTTGTTCACATACACCGGCCGTATGCTGGGCGACCGTACAAGGGATTTGGGCAATGTTCTCAAGACTGTTCCTGCTGAACGTGCCGTCCAAAATGAACTCAAGACGCAATTGCAGACGCTGGCCAAATACTTGTTCGCTGGATATCGAGAGCGATTGGAGTACTTGCAGAGGTAAGACCATTCCCTTTTATTGAAGTTGGACACGGGCTGACAACCAGTCCAGGCACAATACGTCAGCTGAAGACAAAAAGGAAGCTGCTGCATTAGACCAGCAGTTTGCCAACTACCGTCCGTCCATGTTACGAAATTTGGGTAAGGAGTCCTAGTTTCCAGCCTGCATTTTTATTCAAGCAGAGCATATGCAGCAATCTACGACCAGGGCGAAGATGCATTTCGGCTGGCAGAACAATACAGGGACTTCCGTAGTCTGGCTGAGTTGTGCAACGACAGCAAGCTCGCAAATGATTTAAGAACGCAGAACTACCTGGAACGTTATCAAGGAGACTTCGCAAGCGAGCTGTACCAGTGGTACGTCGAGCACGGTAAGTCTAATCTACTTATCCCTTCATGCGCTGATCCGATTTTACTCGGCAGGGAAGCTACAGACGTTGTTACTCCAAGACCAGATTTATTACCCGCTGCTCCAAGGATTCCTCAAGAGCACCGACTATCCGCGCATCTCTTGGTTGCATGACGTCGCAATTGGCGACTTCAACAGCGCAACCACAACCCTCTCGGAAGAAGTGGCGAACGAAACTAAAGTCGACGCCTTAAGGGTATGTGAACCTGGCATACGTTGCCTGCCTTGAGCTGACAACGGCTCTCACAGCTCCTGCTCAGCTTGTCCAAATTGTCCACTGTGGCAGAGACCGACCTCGAGCAATTCAACTCGCAGGATATCCAGGGGCAGTTGCAAAGTACGTAACTCCATACAGAGCCTAGCATCTTGTTTAGCTGACTTTGACCAGCTTACGATGACCACCTCGATGTGGTAGAAGTTCAGCAGGAGATGTGGGCAGAATTTGAACAGATAGTCCAGGAATCGAACGTCCGCGGTCACCCTTCAATCGACACCCAAGCTGATATCCTCGCTCAACACCTAGTTCCTGAATCCGTAGAGGAGGCGAGCGTTGCGGTAAGATCTGGCATTTAACCCAAGGATGATCACGCTAATAAGTTCCTGCAGCTCTTCAAGCGTTTAGCGAAACAGCTACTACAGAGGAACGTATTATCCAGCTATGACATGGTAGATGTCTTGACTCTACGCGTGAGCAAGCCTGGTTACGCTTCCCTTACCGATGCAGCCTCGGTTCTCGAACGCATGCCAGTTAGTTCAAACATCTCTGCCTAGAAGTGCCAGCTAACATGGTGCGATGCAGGACGAAGACGCATTAAGGGCTTTGTGGAGAAGAGCTTGGATCGTAGATGAGTGAGTTTGATGCCTCGCCTGCACACACTCGGCGACTAAAAGTTATCACGATAGCTGGATCGAGGTCCGCGACCAAACTTCTCAAACTGACGAACAAATTTGGCGCAATATCCAGCAAACTGCAGTGTGGCGCCTCATGGAGCACATTGTCGAAGAACATTACGAAAAGCTGCTCATCCCGCCTTCTCAAGCCGCTATGATACCCACGACTACGGCCCTGGGGAACCGCTTCCCGGATCTCCCCGCCCATTCAATAGAGCTGTTGATGAGCGACCTCGAACTGGAGCATGTAGCACTTCGCCGACTGTTGGATGCTGGCGATGTAGATGAGTGGTACACAGAGGCTGTCAAGCGCATCACAAAAGCATGAGCTCTCCTTTTACTGTTATTCACCTCCCTGTACTATCTTAACCAATACGATCGAAAGGCTAACCAGATACCACGAGCCTGCTCAACATAATATTGCATAGTGTACGCCCGAAACCTAGCGTCTTCCGCTGAGAGCCACGCACGATAGAAGGCAGCCAATTTGGCCTCGAGTGCGGCATCTCTTGCTACTATTTCCCCGGGAGACTTGGCTGGTGGATGCGAATCGAGAATTTCTTGGCGAGCGGCGTTGAACCTAGTGTTGACCTAAATTTGCGTGAGGTTTGCGAGAGGCGGATCACCACGCTGGGACGTACGTCAGTCCAGAACGAATGGTTCAAGGTCTCCAAATGTCGCTCGTGAAGAGCTGATGCTGAGTACCCGACAACTTCACTACGCGAGAACTCGGACAGGGAGTATGGATGTGCGGCTTGTATTCCGTCTTTAAGTACGGCCCCGCGCAGTACAGGCCGAATGTTAGAGACTGGGTCAGGGGGACCAACCAAGGTGGAATCAGTTAGAGTTGAACTAGAGCCTGCGCGTGTTCGAATGTAACGGGGCAGAGAAAAATTCCAGGCGGTCCTCTGTACTCTCGGAAATCGCATAACTTGCGATGCAGTGAGTTGGACGAAAATGGGGGTAATTTCAAATTCCAATTCGGGGCGGGAGCGATGGTGTAGTTGGTTATTATGTCTGTCTAACACAAAGTGTACACAGACAGTCCTCAGTTTGAACCTGGGTCGCTTCAGGGGCCCTGCCCGCACGAGCGTTGTTGGAATACCCTGGGCATCCCAGACTTTGTGTAAGCTGGTTGAACAACCATCGTTACGATTTACTATCTATACAGCATATACAATCAAGTTGCTTTGACCCTCGACGGTCGTTAGTGAGCCTCCTAGATCAAGTCTGGAAGTTTCCATAATAGTCACGCTTAACTGATGCTTGCGCTGGCTTTGAGTGGGATTTTGCCTTTGCCTTTGCCTCGCTGGCTTTCGGCTTTGGCCTATGAGTTGAAACCGCGCCAACCGGTAGGGTATACCTAGCAGCGACATAAGAATACGCATTTCCAAGCTCAGACTGGTACCGACCTTTCTTCGTCGCAACCATATGCCTTGGGCGTAAGTTTTATCACTGTATGGAGAGGAATGTTGATGTACGGGAGCTCCTCTTGGGAAAGATTAGTGAAATATGCGTATCTAGACGGGTCTTTTTCATGAGCAGTAGTACTAGTAGTAAGATAGATAACCCACAGGCAGCGGATAATGGCTTGGTGACCGATTACTAGAACATTGTCTTGTCGTTCTAACTCCATGATAACAGGTTCCAACCGTACCACCACATCACGGTACGATTCGCCACCTAGGCCCCACGGTCAATACTTGCATTTATCCAAAGGTGGAACGGAACGCACCCCTGTAGCGGTAGTTAAACTTGTCATCGTCCCTAGCCTCAAAGTCTTCTGGGTAGGCGGCCTGACACGTGAAGTCAGTCTCGGGGTCAGTTACGTGGGTCGTGCCAATCACATACTTCTATCTCTTCGTATGTCATCCCATCACAAACTCCTGCATCAAGTTCATCCAAGGACTTCCATGTCAGCTTTGGGTAAGATAGCTGGGCGGCGGTTTCGATGGTTCGTTGGAGGGTTGAAGTCCATACCTACCGTGCAAGACGAGCGTCAAAATGGGTATATGCGTATGATTTGGGAGGACTTGCTGTCAGTTCTGCCTCCTTGATGTTATCTTTGACAAGGCCAGGCAAGGCCGATGCATATTGTCTGCCCCTTTCAGACAGAGGTGCATCTCCACCGATCTTCCCCTCTACATTGAATTGACTTTCCCCATGCTGTACCGTGAGAACGTTAGTGAAATGTCGAGCAAGGGGGGCCGAAACTCACCCGAGACATAAATATACTCCGTGGTTTCAGATGCAAATTCATAAGATAGAAAACGATACGGGACTGTACGTAACCATGAATCCTGTTCATTTGCACCTGATTTCCGACGTTGATAATCTTGACATAACTGAGATGAGGTTCTGTAACTGTCTGATAGACGGCCTCATATTGCTTGATCCTATTCCGAAAGTCCCGCTCAGCATCTTCCCTAGACATATGTGCGTAGTCGGGGTCTCCGGCGGAGACTTTGAGAGCAATATTCGCAGCAATTACTGCTGGGTCGTCGCAGTAGCTTTCCAAGAATAGGACAACCAGGTCGGGGTCTTTTGCAACTCGAGCAGCAATCTTTTCTCTGAAAAGCAAAGGCAATGAATTTTGTGAGAGACAGGGGCAGTTGGACTGACCTTCGTGCTTCGGTGCTATTGGTTGCATCTGTGAAACCAGGTCAGTTTTCGTTGCTTAGCTCGACAGCGACTAGGCTACACACCATGAATGGCCACGTTTCCACCTTTCTTCAGCCAAGATATCAGGCTTTCGAGACATTCCTCCGCGAGGGCTTCCCGGAGTTGAGACGCCTTGTCGTCCGAATGGCTAAAGTAAGAGGCGGTATGATCTTCCGTTATACCGCTCCTGACACAACCAATGAGTTTGCTGGCATGATGTAGGAATTTCGAGAACACAAACTTTTCTTTCTTTGCTCGAGCTTTGCTCCTCCTGAGTTGTCCGACATTGAACACCTGTCAGTAGTGTTAGAGGTTTTATACGCACGGTGATTGGGTACTTGGAACACACCTCAACAGAATATTCCAGCCACTGGTGCGGCTCGCGTTAGTCGTAGAATTAACGTTTACATGGCGCGTACCCTCAAGTACCGAGTGAGCTTGTTACTGAGGTACGATTTACCACGGGCAGGCAATCCGACCATCGCAACCACAATCTTCAGTTCGGAATAGTCCGGCTTGGAAACTATAAAAGTAGTCAAAATTTACGCCCGGCTTTCCAAACTTGGAAACTCACCCTTTCCCCCGATTCCCACTACCGGCGGTGGACCGAGATCCGTTGGAGGAGACGACGGTCGGGAAGGCCGCCTGCTCTGGATCCGAGAATTGTCGAATTGCTTCAAGCTGGGTCGCAAGGATCAGTTTACGAAGGACAAAAGCGATGGTGCATTCTCACATAGCGCCTCCTGCACCGAAGAAAGTCTGTGTCCCGTCTGGGCGTTCGTCGGCCACTTGTTTCGGGCTAAGCAGCAGCTGGACGGCATCAGGGGTGGGCTCGACTGGTGATATTATCTTCTCTTCGATGGGCGTGGCCTCGGAGACCTCTACCGATACTTCTGCTGTTGGCGGATGGGTATGTGAGTTTGGGACATAGGCCATTGTGGTTGCGATACACGAGTTCTATCAAGGCGGGTTTGGCTTCAATAACCCCGATCAGGGCCGGGGCATGATTTGGAAATGCTTTGGTTTGTGCTTGGTTTGCACCAACTTGAGAAACATGTAATGTCCGCTTGCATACAAAAACGTCTTTCCGATGATAAGTAGGTACAGTGGCCAACGCATGGATATTGTATCCCGGTTGGAACAATGCGGTGTCATTAGGTCGTAAGGTGTAGGGTGTATAACTCAGCCGTCTAAATTCCGCCATGCCGCAGGTCTATCCATCCACATCCTTCGTTTATGACCTTCACACCAGGGAGGTACCCTTTCTCTTTGAGTGTATCCCTCGGGCGGCTGAAAGCAAAGCCGCGCCGGCCAATACCACAACCTAGAAGCCGAGCAATCAGCAATTTTGAGCATCATGCAGCCCAATGAGCTTACTCCTGAAAATACGATCGGTTTCCACCACGTGAATTGAGTAGAAAGGAGAGCGCCAGCAATAGGTGTGCCTGTGAGCGCAGAAAATCCGAGTACGAAGAACGCCAGCCCCATCCGCAGCCTAAACAATTAGACCTGATGAGCATTTACCAGCCTGCAGTCCCGGCAGAACACTCACCCAATCTCTTGCATGTTCCTAGAGAGGGACACAAATACTGGGGGAATAAGCGAGATAACTATAACCGCATTGTCAGCGCACCGATCAACTCGGGTTGGGAAACCACATACAAGCGCCAGAAAAGAAGCCATACAACAGGCCAAATACAACCAGGGCTGCTGAAGACTTGACGCCAAACATGGCGAAGATGAGGACACCACTGATGGTCGCGCAAGGAATCAAGAGATTGAACGGGCCATATTTCTGGGACAAGCACTGGGTCAACCGGCTGTTCGATCTGAAAGCTATGAGCTTACATCTGCGACGAAGTTAGGGATGGTACGACCGAAGATCGAAGCAGCATTGAGTATAGCCAGCTATGTCGATTTACTAATTCAGTATTTGATCTGTGACACGCATATAGTCAACACTTACAGAATAAAAGGCAAGGGTGTGATCCAGTCCATGGTTAATCGCAAACAACTAATGTTTCGCTACTTCAGCGAATATGCACAGGCGGAGAGCGGCGATATATTTCACCTGCAGGTAGAAGAACGGCAAGAACAACCCAAGCATCACCAAAAATGCCCTGTCGAACAAGGGTGAGAAAGTTCATGTCAGCTGAATACGCCAAAACATACCCTGCAACCGCGAGTTGAAACGCCGTGTCGGTCACAATCCCCTTGACATCTGGGGGTGGAGCCGGCGGTCGCTGAGATTTTGGTGGAAGACGTGTGCGCATCATCAAATTTGCGGCGATGAAGCAGCCTGAGCGGCCCGCAGAATCAGAAGACATCGACGCAATAGGATGGAAACGACTCACCAAGAATCACGAAACCTGTGGACCGAACACCCCAAGCAAATCCAGCGCGCTGGAATATCTTGTTCAGCATAATCGGGAACACAATGCCTCCGCAAGAGGAGCCGCTCGTAACGATACCCATCGCCAGGGCGCGCCGCCTTTTGAAATGATGAGAGATTACGCCAACTAACACATGCATCCGTAGTCAGACAACGAGCTCTATGCTAGTGCGTAGATGCCTACTGGAAGGTAAGAAGAGTAGCCCAAGACCGATGCCTAAACCGACCGCCTGGGGTAAGAACACTTGGTAGTACTGGTTCTCTTTAGCGAGAGATAGCATGAATAGACTAGAAGGTGTTAGCGATTGATGCGGATGAACGCGGGTAGCCATCTTACCAAAATGTGTAGAGTAAAGAGCCTGCTGCAACCGTCACATGAAAGTAGCCAGCATCGAAAAGTTTCCCCGATACCAGGCCCTGGATACTTGGGTTAGGATCGTGCGAAATAGCCAGGTAAATCAACATGCCATAGCGAATTGAAGACACAATTGTGTTGAACCAACCCATGCGATATCAGATGACGTCTGCACGACATTGTCAGTATACGAGCCATACTCTGGAGAGGACCTCCCACCTTGTTTGTCATGTATTCACGCGAATAGTAATCTTCAAAGACTCCAAAGGCATTGACGTATCTAGGGGCATGGGTCATTAGGATGGTTTGACAGAGTACGCTTGCCAACTCACCCGAAAGTACAGAAGAGAACAAGCCATCTAGAGATGAATGGTTAACCTATTATCGAACATCACATTGATCGACAAGACTTACGCTCCGGCGACCTACAAGACAGTCAACACACGAGTTACATAGAATGCCAAACTCAGAGCGTCACACTCACCGTTGTCCATGCGGCCACGCCTCCATCAGGTATAGCCGGCGGGGGCTCTACGACCTGCTTCTCGCTATCCAACGGCTCGACATTGGGCGTTTGGGTCTCCTGCAAGGTCGCAGTTTCCGAGGGGGTCTCTTTTCCAGTCCGCATGTTGAAGGACAACCAAGTGGAGAGAAAAGAAGAGCC